TATTTCTTACTTAATACTGTGCTGTGATTTCTTACCTTTGTTTTGCTGATACACCTGTGAGCGGGACTGCTTGCTACTGTTGTGCTGCTTAGAAGAGGGGGGGGGAAGGGGAAATTGAGAATTAATTTGTCCTGACTGGACAAACTTTCTTGTTTGATGGTTATAGAAAATATTGTTTATTATTTCATCTGAATTAAGATACTGTTGAAGTATTCCCAGAGTGTGTAGCTTTTTATTCAGATTTTTGGGTGAAAAAAAGAGTTCAAACTTGGTGTTAGAGTCCAGCTAAGGGGGTGGTTAGAGGTGTTGTCCCATTCTTGCCAAAACACGCCAAACAATTGCTATTTTCTACTCCTAGATTGAGAGAGGTAACAGTGGAAGAAAGTCCTTAGAGACCTAAATTCCAAGATGAACATGTATTGTACCTGAGGGATGATGTTTCTGCAGGAATTATCCTAAAATGTGTGATGCTCGAGAGATGTCATTGTGGAACAGTTGTGGTCTCTACAAGAGTGTTTCAAAGTGCACCAGCCTCAAACTTCAGTGCTGGGATTAAGAGGAGAAAAGCTACCCACACTGAAATACAAGGATCCTTTTAAAAATTAAAGGTTTTCTGCAGTTAGTAACTGAGGAACTGTTGCTACTAAAGGATGAATGACCCTGTGGCAGTGTGGGTTCTTAGAAATGGTGAGCTCAGATATGGCTCCATTTTGCTCAGGTTTCAGCTTTTTCTTCCCTTCTCCTGAGGATCTTTCTGCTACAGCTACATAGGTTGGCCCAAAAGCTTGATCTAATCACCCAATCTGCCTTCAGCCACATTTTTTTGACTTTGCTGATAGCCCTGTGTCACTGCGCTAAGAGTTACAAGACAGAAAAACTGCTGTCACTGCTGCTGTGACAATTTGAGGTAGTGGCTGGGGCACAAGGGATATGTCAGCATCCTTTTCTTGAAAGCAAAAATCTGTGGGGATCTGACCTGTCTGCCTTAACCCCATTTCTGTCATGGTGGAACTGTTCCCTGTGATCTGCTGCTGGATGGGGACATCACAGAACCTCAGATGTGCTGTCGGGGAGCCCTTGCTTTTTTCCTCGAGTGCCAGCTCTGGAAAAGGCAGCGTGTGGGCAGCAGGAGCTGCAAATATTTATGATGAGTCAGGGGGAAGCTGGAATGATGATGAGCTGCTGAAGAATGTGAAGGCAAGCAGGATCATGAGGCCATGGAACTGGAGCAGCCACCAATCCCTGAAGGATGAAGCAGCTGGATTTCCCTGATGACCCTACATGGCCTCTTCTGCCTTGAGGAAGGGGTTGTGTGCCTGACAGCTTGGCAGTATTTTTTCCCCAATGGTATCATTTGGGTCTAATAAAAGATATTACAACTTCCCCCAAACATGGCCTCTTGTATTCCCCATGCACTGCAAACAGAGCAGGAGCCTCAGGCAGCTGTGCCTCTAAGGGTGTGGGGTGTTTGTACGAGCTTGGAGTCACCCACCAGGTTCTCACAGGCTGGAATGTGGGACCTGTTCTCTTAATTAGGAGGGAAGTGGTGACATGGTGGGAAAACTAGTGTACATGTATAAAAATCATGTCCTGAAGGAGCTGGATGTTGGAAGGGATAGGATTTGACCAAGGCTTCAGGAGGGAAATGGTGGTAGGTGATTTTTCCCGTGCCAGGGAGAACAAATTTACAGGATGAGAGCAAGAGACCGGGATTTAACTAAGTGCTGTTCCAACACCTCCCTTTGGAGTCAGAGCAGGTTGAGAAGTTGATGTAAAATCTATAGTCTCCCTATGGATTTTACAAAAACATTTTTGTATTACAGTACTCAAAGCTGATCCATCACCTTTATGTGCATGCCTTGAGAGCAATGAGTGGGAGGAGTTTGAGAGATCTGGGTACAAAATCTTCCTCTGCTCCCTTTCTAGTTGAACTGTACTCAATTCGTTATCAAAATAATTTGCTGAACACAGACCAGAGCTGAAACTTAAAGGCAGCCAATGTTTTCTTGGACTTTCATGCTGAATTTCAAGATCAAATTATCTGGTGAATAAATTATGAAAAGGCTTGATGATGCTTTCAAACCACAGCTTTGCTTCTCCTTTCTCTCTCCATTGGGAAACCTTTACAGCTGCTTGTGTGACCTGGCCTGAACCTGGAAAGAACTCCTGGACCTGGGCAAGTCCTGGTGCTCCCAGATGCTGCTGCTGGTGGCCATCACTCTGGGTGCTCTTTTGTTGATGTTGAGATTTTTCCTTGTCTTTCCCCATCACCTTGCTGACACCTGTCACGACAGGATGGCAGCTCGTGGTGGAAGCCCTGGTTCTGATGGAAACAGTTAAGCCAGACGGCCTGGCTGGTTTGTGTTTCAGCATGGCTGGGATTCAGGTGGGGATGTTGTTCTGCCTGCCCTGCCGCTCAATTTAGCTGGGGTGTAGGGTTTCCCTGGAATGGGCCGGCTTTGGCCCCGCAGAGCCTCCCTTCCCAGGGTAAACGTAAAGGTTAAAGTGTGCTGCCGCAGTTGTGACAACGGCGTCGCCAGGGAACAGCGTGCTTGAGGCACTGCCAGATAGCCCCAGGACAGGCTGTTTCCCAGCTGCAGCCAATGTAGGCTCTGGCTTAAGTTCCTGAATGGGAAGGGAGAAAAAAAACCCCCAAAGCCAGGCTGAGAAGCCTGGATGGTGGCTGGTTTGCAGAGCCCCAGAGCACTGTGCTGCTCCTTGGGCATCTGGTTTTGGACCAAGGCATCTGAAATCCTGGGGTGCAACAGATATAGCCCTTCAATTCTACAATTCCTTCTTCCCAAAGGTCTGACTTCAGCTTATTTCTCTCTGCCCACAAATTAATTTTATCTGTGATAATGCCAAAGCATGGTCACCCATTGGCTTTGGAGAACCATGGCTCCCCAGGGCTTTGCTTCCTCATCTTGTCCCTGGGGTTTGTGCCCAGACTGACCTTGCTCCCAGGGAGGGTGGAAGATTGCAGGCATTCCCTGGAAGGCTGGCTGGTGTCCAGGTGCTTGCTCCTGCTCTCCTTGTAGAATTTTATCCCAGTGTCCACCACACCAAGAGCTCCAAGGGGGCTGTGGGGCATGACTCTGGCTCAGGGGCTCCTGCTTCATGCCTGTGCATGGTTGTGCTCCTTCCACCTGGAGTTTGCCAGGAGGGTGCAGAGCCCAAGGGTGGTGGAGTGGTGGCAGTATGTGCCTGAAGTGACACTGGTGGCCTCAAGGTGCCTGGCAGCTGAGGAGCCAGGCTGGAGGAGGAGAGAGGCAATTCCAAACTGTATGTTGGTGGTGACAGTCGATGGGCAGAGTCCCCGCTGGCCAGGCACAGCATCTGGCCAGTTATTCCTGACTGTGGCCCTACAGAGGCCGAGGTGGGGGACTCCCACTCATCACAGGAGTGGTGGCTGTGTCAGGACTGGGCAGCATGTGTGTCATTGTCACCAAGAACTGTGGCTGCTGGTGATGCTCCAACCTCTGCTTGTACACAACTGCATCAGCACATCAGTGAGCTGGAGCTATGTGCCTGCTCCTGCATTATCCCTGCTGGTCCTCATCACATTCCAGGTCCTGCTGGATCTCAGGAAAGGAGCTGGTCTTGCTGAAGCCATAAATCCCAGCGGTGAAGGATGGTGTGGGAGAGCTCCACACCTGCTTAGGCTGTGTCCCACTGAGCAAGTGTTGCTCTTGCACTGAGGTGTTGATGTGGGTGCCTCAGGCCAGGGTAGGGACAGGTGGGACAGCAGCACATCAAGGACAGAGGACCAGCTGTGCTCCCATCCTGGCTTGTATCGATTTCAATGCCACATGTGAATCACTGGCAAAGTCTGACCCCAGGCCATGGGCTCAGCTCACTGGGAGCTGGGATTTGTCAGTGTGGAGCAGCAGCACTGCCTGAGCAGTGTTGGTCCTCCTGAGAGGTGCTGCAGGCAAAGTGAGCCCTGCTCTTGCGGGGCTGCTGCTGCTGCTTGTTGGTGGCATTGACTCAGCTCCATTGTGGATGGCACTGGCCAGCCTCCCCACCTCCTTTGCTGCTGTAGACTCCAGCTCTGCCACAGATAAGGTTTAAACTAAGGAGAAAGGAAATCAAGGTTTATGCAGCTGGGTTTGGTGTGTGGCGGGACCTAAGTTTTCTATGGCTGTGGGGTGGGGAGCTGGGAGGTGGGACCAGGCTGGCAGCTGTCAGGGGCTGAGACTGGAGGAGCCCAGAGTAACCTCAGGCACCTGGTCTGGGGAGAGTCCCACTCCTCCAGCAAACGCCAGGATTCCCCACGCAGTGCCTGAGGTGTGTCCTGGGGTGCAGCACCCCAGAATGAGCTGACAATGCCTGTGCAGCACCCATACCCACAGCCCAACCCCCCTGGAGCTTCCAGCTCCTCTCTTTTTTTCCCTGATTCCCAAAACACTTGATTTTGCAGAAAATAAGTCTTTCAACTTGTTCCTAAGGAAGGTTGTAGCTGCTGGCCAGTGCCCAGTTCCCAGCTTCTGTCACTTTCATCAAGGCCCAGTGGCAGTGTCCAGAGGTGCCACATCATATCCACAGAGCACAGGGTCCTTTGGAGTCGCTCTCCCAAAGGGCCAGCGCTAGTGGGCAGAGCTCAGCAGCACAGGGACCAGCACCATCACCAGTTGCTCCTGGCTACCACCCCCATGGGCTGGCCAGTGGCCACCTCGTGTCACCTGTGGGCACCTTGGAGGGCCTTAGCAACCTGGACCCTGTCCAGCTCACCCAGGCCACCCCCATGGGATGGTTTTGGGGTGCCACTGTGTCCAGTGCCAGCCCTCCCTGTGGTGCTGTGCCGGTGCAGGAGGCAAGTCCATCCCTGTCCCCTGCCCCTTGTCCCTTGTGTGCGTGTCCCCAGCCCACGGGGGACAGGCGAGAGTGGCGTGTCCTTTGAACGGGCTCCAGCAGTAACAGGTGCTGGGAAAGGCGAAGTGGGCCGGCTCCCGCTGCTGTAAAGGATCCTCCTCTGCCTGCACTAATCCGGCTCCGTTACACCCGGGATAGAAGAGGCTGCTCCCTCCGGCGCTGTCACAGTGCGGATGCTGCCTCCCTGACCACCCACTGCACCGGCACCCAGGTAACGGCACCGAGGGGGTCCCTGTGGCTTCTGACTTGGGCCATGGAGGTGGGGGGTCCTGTGGATAGCGGAGCCCCCAGCCTTGGGAAGAACACCTCCATCCCCGTGGGCTTCCTGTGCTGAGCTGTGGGATGTGGCAACGCTCTCCCAGGGACTGCTCTGCTACACCTCCCGGTCCAGCAGACCAGCAAACAACTTCGCTGTTACTGGGATGGTCGCTGCTGGGTTTATTCTGGGGCTGGGCTGTCCTGGGCTCTGGATGGCTGCGCAGGGGGGTGTTTTGGGACAGGATGAGGAAAGATGACTGGGCACAGGAAGGAGTGGAGCCCAGGGCAGAATGGGGATTTGAGGATCAGGTGCTGGGCACCAACAGGTCCCCTTGGCAGAGCTGGTTACCCCTGGGCAGGGGAAAGAGCAGTGCTGGCAGCCACTGGGTGCAGGGGTCTGTGTGGCCCCCGAGCAGACAGGGTATCCCTGCATGGCTGGACCTCCTCTGTGGTTCAGGGGGAGCAACGATGGGGCCGTGCCGGGAATGCTCACCTCTCCTGATCGCCACTGCCAGCCGGGGGCCAGAGCCGCTGGCTGCTGCCCTGCCACGGTGGGATGTGGCCTTAAATTGTCACCCTGGCCGCGCCGCCCTGGCTGTTTGCACGTCGGAGGCCCCAGGCACCCGGTGACAGGTGCCGGGGTCAGGCCATCGATCAGTCACCGTGGGGTAGATATCGGGGCACAATGGGACGGTGCCGGGACTGGTGGCCACGTGGGGTCCCTGGCCCGGTGCCACCAGCCCGGGAGCTGCCGGTTGGGCGGCGGGGGCACAGTTCCCTGCCGGATGGCAGCAGCTCATCCCTGCAGGAGCAGAGCCACTGCCCGAGTCCTGCCGTCCCCTCTGTAGGGTGTCGGGTCCGGCGAGTCCTCAGCTGCTGCTTTCTCTCCCGCAGGAGCCCCGCCGAACCGGCAGCACCGCAGGGCAGCCGCCTCCCGCCTGGAGTGTCCCATGGAGCGGGCTGGAGGCGCGGGTGGTGCCGACACTGGGGGCACGGGGCCCCCCCAGGCCCAGGGCAGCGCAGCACCTGCAGCTCCCCAGGCTGCCCAGCCCGAAACAGCGACAGCGGCAGCCGCCACCATGGCACCGGATGAAGGCACAGATGAGCCTGGAGGAGGGAAGACAGAGCTGGAGCAGGAGACAGCTCTGGCTGCTCCAGAGCCCCAGGATGGACGGGAAGCAGTTTCAGGAGAGGCTGTGCAGCATGATGGAGGACAGGCAGCATCTGAAGAAGGGCAGGCAGCACCCACTGGAGAGAAGGTGCCAGCTGCCACCGAGGCCCAGGGTGTAGGGAAGGATGAGAAAGACAAGCCTGAGAAGAAGAAAGCTCCAGCTACAGGAGAGCTCAAAGGAGGAAAGGCTTCAGCTGCTGCAAAGGCTAAGGATGGAGGGAAGGATGAGACCATGGAGAGGAAGGGCCTGCCTGTAATTGAGGCACAGGATAGAGGAAAGGACAAGCCCAAGAAGGAGGAAGCACCTGGTGGGTCGGGGGCTGAGAGTGGTGGAAAAGCAGAGTCCACTGAGGAGAAGGCTCTGGCTGCAGCAAACTCTGAAGGAGGGAAGGCAAAACCTATGGAGGAGACAGCTTTGGCTGCAGCTCAGGCTCAGGATGGAGGCAAAGGAGAGCCGGCAAAGGAGAAAATCACAGTGGTTGCAAAACAGGAGGTCCCAGCCACTGCTAAAGCTCCAGATGAAGGGAAGCAAGATGCAAAGGAACAGCAAGCACCAGCTGCTACCAAGCCAGCAAAGGAGAAAACCACAGCTGCAGCAAAAGAGAAGGCCCCAAATGCTGCAAAGGAGAAAACCCCAAATGCTGCAAAGGAGAAGACCCCAGATGCTGCAAAGGAGAAGACCCCAAATGCTGCAAAGGCTCAGAGTGGGGAGAATGAAGTGGTAAAGGCAGAAAAACCCCCAGAAGTTAAAAAGGCTCTGGACAGAGGCAAAGAGGAGCCCGTGAAGGAGAAGGCTGCAGCTTCAGTGAAGGAGAAAACCACAGCTTCAGTGAAGGAGAAAGCCATAACTCCTGCAAAGGAGAAAGCCCTAGATGCTGCTAAGGCTCAGGATATAGAGAAGGCAGAAGCAAAGGCAGAGAAAACACCAGCTGAAAAAATGGCTCAGGGTGGAGACAAAATAGAACCTGCAAAGGAGAAGTCCCCAGCAGCTGTGAAGGTGCAGGATGGAGGGAAGAAAACTGCAAAGGTGGAAAAATCCACGGTTGCATCAAAGGCTGGAAACGAAGGGAAAGATCCTAAAAAGGAGAAGGTCCCAGCTACTGCAAAGGCTCAGGATGGAGGAAAGAAAGCTAAAGAGGTGGAGCCTCCCACACCTGGAGCAGAGGCTGGGGATGGGGCTGTGGAGCCCACAGAGGCAGCAGCCATGGCTGCTGTGAAGGCTAAGGGTGAAGGAGAGGAAGTGTCCAAGGGGACAGAGGGGCAGGCACCAACGATCCCTGAGCCCCTGCACCCGGCTCTGCTGCAGAGCCTGAGCTGCCCGGCTGCCTGCCACAGGTACCCACACCCTCCTGGGATGGGGGGATCCCCCTTGCTGCTCCAGGGAGCCCTGGGTCTCTGGGTGCTGGGCTCGGGAGCTGCTGGCTGGGCTCTGCTCACCTCCCACTCCTGCTTCCAGGGAGGAGCAGCCCTGGGCAGAGGTGGCAGAGATGGAGACAATAGAAGAGGAGACCACGATGGTGGAGCCAAAAGAGGGTCTGACAGAACTTGTCTCTGGCCCACCAGCCCTGGAGAACCTGCAGCCCCTGGAACCTGCCAGCACCCCTCAGGAGAGGACATTGCCCAGTGCCACAGGGCAGCCCCCAGATCCTGCTGGGATGGTGGAGCAACCTGGACCTGGGGTGCAACCATCTTTAACAGAGGCAAAGCCACCCCCCAGCCCCTACCTCACCCCTGATTTTGGGAAGGAAGACCCTTTTGAGATATTGGGTAAGGCCATGAGGTACCTGCCTTTTCCTTATGCCCTGGACACTCTTGTGGAGTGACAGCCTGGGAACCCCATGGCCCTGCCTGCTGCCCTCTGTGTTGCCAGCTCCTGTCCTTGGCTTGTCACCTGCCTCATGGCCTCTGAGCTCCCCTTTCACTGTAAACAGGGCTAAATATGTTGGGTCCCTTCCTGGCCTGTGAGGAAGAGGAGCCTGGGGAGTGACAGTGACTGGCTGGCTGGTGGCAGGGAACAGCATGTCCTCATATCCTGCACCATTCTTCTTGTGGGGATGGCAGGGCTTTGGGGCAGTGGGTGCTTGTGGGGATCCCTGTGAGGCTGAGTCCTGCTCTCACCTAGGAAAGGGTGGCTCAGGAGTGTGTGCATGGGGTGCCCTGTGAATGGGATCTGTCCTGGGAGGGTGAGCAGGAGGTGGTGGCATGGAGTGGGGTTGGCTTGGAGAGAGTGACAGACAACAACATCGCCTGAAAAGGGTAAATGGTAAATGTGGGTTGGTGGGGGTGGCTGTCATGAAGTAAGGTGGGTACCATGCATTGGGATGGGTGCCATGGAGCAGGGTGGGTGCTGTGGAGCAGGGTGGGTGCCGTGGAGCAGGGCTGGTGCTGTGCACAAGGGCAATGCTGTGGGCAATAGCGAGGAACCCTTCAGGGGTTGCTACATCATCCAGCGCAGCCTGAGCCAGGAACCTCTGGCTCACAGCCCAGCACTCAGTACCTGGCCACATCCTGCACCCACGGGCTTGGCTGGGTGCCTGTCTTCACTCAGGGTACCCAGAAGTGGGGTCCCCTGGACAGCAGATTCCCTTCTCACCTTGTTCTTTGTCTGTGGGCAGATGATGTCCCTCCACCGCCAGCGCCCTTCGCTCATCGCACTGTCACCCTGCGCTCCGCCAGTGTCAGCTCCCAGTTCAGCCTCAGCTCCAAGGACATCCTGGGGGGGTAAGGAGCGGCCCCAGCGCTTCTCCTGGCACTGTCCCAAGCTGCTCTTCAGCCTTGAGCAGTGGCCTTGGGACTCCTCTGGTCATGATGGGTGGGTGCCTCAGGCAGGATGGGTGCCTTGGGCAGTGCAGAGCAGCAGCACAGTGCAGTGTCAGGGTCCCCAGCAGCCTGGGTGGTTGATGGTGTGAGCACTTCTCCTTCTCTCCCTTCCTCCTTCCTCCACAGGGGCAAGTTTGGTGAAGTTCACACATGCACAGAGAAGGAGACAGGGCTCAAGCTGGCAGCCAAAGTGATCCGGAAGCAGGGAGCAAAGGACAAGGTCTGAACGATGCCGGGCAGTGTTACACTCTGTGTGCCCCTGGTGTGGGGACACAGCCTGTCCCAGTGGCACAGCCAGGGCTGACACCCCACACTGGGGCTCCTTCTGCAGGAGATGGTGCTGCTGGAGATCGATGTGATGAACCAGCTGAACCACCACAATCTCATCCAGCTCTACGATGCCATAGAAACACCCCGGGAGATCATCCTCTTCATGGAATTGTGAGTGCGTGTGCCTACCCTGGGGCTGTGCAGCCCCAAAATGCCACATCCCACTCTGGCTCTGACCAGCACCTCCATGGTGGATCTGGGCCAGAGTCCTCAGGAGGGAAAAGAGCTCTACAGGAGGATGGCTTGGGGCAGGGAGTCCCCCCAAAGTGACCCCATGGTCCATCCCCATGCAGTGTGGAGGGTGGTGAGCTCTTTGAGCGGATCATCGATGACGACTACCACCTGACAGAGGTGGACTGCATGGTGTTTGTCCGGCAGATCTGCGAGGGCATCCGCTTCATGCACCACATGCACGTCCTCCACCTCGACCTCAAGGTGCGGGGCTGGGGGCTGACAATGGCAGGGCCAAGGGTGACAGCAGGACACTGGCTAGCTGTGGGGGGGATGCCTGTGGGTCAGCATTGCTCTAGTGTGGGTCAGCTGCAGGACCCATGGGCTGCTGGATATGTGCAGTGGGGATGTCCTCTCTTGGTGGTGGGACAATGGTCACCCTGTCCCCACAGCCCGAGAACATCCTCTGTGTCAGTGCCACCGGGCACATGGTGAAGATCATCGACTTTGGGCTGGCTCGAAGGTGAGGTTTTTTCTCAGCTCTGTCCCACCTCCCTGTTCCCCTTCTGTCCTTCATCTCTGTGTGCCTTTGGGTACCAGGAGCCCCAGGACGTGCTCTAGGCCATTACTTTGGCCACGGTGATCTCTGACTATCTGGGGAGGGCCGCTGAGAGAGAGGCAGTGGTTTGAGGGTGCAGCCTGTCCCCCTTCTGCTGACTTGCACCACTCCTCGGCTGCAGGTACAATCCCAACGAGAAGCTGAAAGTGAACTTTGGCACCCCTGAATTCCTCTCCCCTGAGGTGGTCAACTACGAGCAGGTCTCCTATTCCACGGACATGTGGAGCATGGGCGTCATCACCTACATGCTGTACGTCAGGGCTGGGTGGGGGCTGCCAGTGCCATGCTGGGGAGCTGTGGTGTGCTGGGGCACAGCTCCCCTGGGTGCAGAGTTGTCCCCAGGCTCCTGGGTGGCAGGTTGGGGGGGGTCCTGGATGGGGAGGTGGCTGTGTGGGGCTGGGGGGCAGGAAAAGGCTCATCCCGGTGGCAATCAGGAGAACAGGACGGTGGCAGCACATCCTTGGAACATCCCTGGCCGGACTGGCTCTGTTCCAGGGGGTCTGGGAGGTGCTGAAGCCTGAGAACACCTGACTCCTCACTTCCCTGCACCCCCAGGCTCAGCGGCCTCTCCCCCTTCTTGGGTGACGATGATACCGAGACACTCAACAATGTCCTGGCTGCCAACTGGTACTTCGACGAGGAGACCTTTGAGAGTGTCTCCAATGAGGCCAAGGACTTCGTCTCCAACCTCATCATCAAGGATAAGAGGTGTGAGGCTGGCAGTGGCCACAGGGTCCTGGGATGGGCATCCCCAGAGCTGGCCTGGTCATCAAATGCTGCCTCTTCACCAGGGCTAGCAGCATCCCCTGGGTCCAGCACTGAATTAACCCCATGGGGCTCTGTCCCACTCTGATTGTCCCCAACAGAGCCCTGTATCCCTGCAGGGACACCTGTCCCAAGGAGGATGTGCTGAACCCCTCAGAGTCTTGCTCAGCTCCACCAGTCCCTGGGCACATCCTTCCATCTGTTTCTTCCCTGCAGGGTTATGGGGTTTGGGGGCTCTGGAGTGGCTGGAGAAGGGCATGGTTGGGGGTGAGGGGCTTGAGCAGGGTTGACACGGGCTCCTCTTTCTCCCAGTGGCCGGATGAGTGCTGACCAGTGTCTGCAGCATCCCTGGCTCAATAACCTGGCAGAAAAGGCCAAACGCTCCAACCGGCGGCTCAAGTCCCAAGTGCTGCTCAAGAAATACGTCATGAGGCGGCGCTGGAAGGTGCGGGGTCCAGCAAGGGCATGAGGGTCAGCAGCTTCTGAGGGGCCTGAGAGGGGGCTGTCCTGGTGGGTAGCATCTGGAGCATGGAGAATAGGTCCCTCTCGCTGTGCTGCTGGGACACAGGGCTGGGGACCCTTGAGCGTGGGTGCCCCTGAGATAACACCCGCACCAAGAATAGGTCCCTTTGTGGTGGTTATTCCTGAGCCGATCCCAAGAGCAGCTTTTAGGGGCAGGAGTAGTGTCAGGCCTCAGAGCGGGGTCTGGCTCAACCTTCAGTGCCACAGCCCATGCCAGAGGATGAGAATCTTTCCTGTTCCCTTTCACAGAAAAATTTCATCGGGGTGTGTGCTGCCAACCGCTTCAGGAAGATCACCAGCTCGGGGTCCCTGACAGCGCTGGGCATCTGAGCTGGGCTCCCAGGGTGAGCCGAGGCCAGAAAGGAACCACTTGAGAGGGACCCCCCCACCAGTCTGGAGCAGCTCTGGAGCTGGTCCCACCGCGCTGAGGACCACATCACCGCTGGGGGTGCTCGCAGTGGCCTTGAGGCTCCTGAGGCTCCAGCCCTCCTCACTCCCAGCGAGCCGATGCTCCTGTCGGGATCTCCTCAGACTGTGGAGCTGCTCCGGAGTGAAGGTTTCTGATCTCATCACTGGCCCTGGCCTGTCTGCGTGATGCCCGACCTGCAGCATCTCTGCTCTGCTCACGCTTCCTTTATGTGCCCTCAGAGGAGGAAGGCCATTCCGGTGTGACCCCGCCGCCTCGGCCACCTGGTGCTTGCTGCTTTTGGACTCAAAATGTGCCTTCTCTGCCTGTAAATGCCGCCTCCACTGCCGCTGGCCCCTGCACTCACTGCCTGACCTCCCTTCCCAGCTCTGTGGCTCGGCGATGATGCTGGAGGGCACCGCGGACCCTCACCCCGATGCTTTGGCACCGGAGCCGGGGCTCAAGCACCTCCTCCCGGCCAGCGGGGCATGTGGGAGCGGAGCTGGCCCCGAGCTGCTGCTCGCACAGGAAGGGAGGAAGCAGCAAGCACGCTTCCAGCGGCGTCCCCAGCTGGGAGCCAAAGAGGAAAGAAGGAGGCTTTGTGTTCCTCCTGCCCTCCCTGCCCTTCGGTTTTGCCAGCGGGGGAAAAACACAACCTCTGCTTCACCCGTCCCCGGCAGATCGCGATGAGCGAGGCGGGCTAATGCAGAGCAGCTGGCCCGCGCTCCCCGCTCCGGCCGGCACCGCTCACCCGACCACCAACACACCGGAACTGCTCCCCCGCCCCGTGCGGGGGCTCCGCGGGACCTGCTGGGGCTGCAGGGCTGCTGCTCCAGCTCCCGCGCCTTGTCCCGATCCCCGTCCTCTCTGTCTGAACCCCTTGGGCCTCCCCGGTGCTGCCAGAGGATGGGCATCCCCTGGGATTTGCAGCATCCAGCCTTGCCCACTGCAGGAGGGGATGGGAGGTTGGCAGAGGTCCCCCAGCTTTGGCTTTTGCCATGGTTGAGTTCCCCCAAGCCAAGGCTGCGTGTTTGCTCTGGAGCTGCCTCTGCCCTCTGTGCCTGCTGGAAAAACATTGGGGAGAGACACAGGGAAACATTACCCCTCACCCCTACACCGGCTGCAGCAGGGGAAGGGGCTTCAGGCTTGTCCCCTCTGGGCAGGAGCCACGGCCCCATAATGGAACCCTCCACAGCGCTCGCCTTCTTGTAAATAAATGTACAGGTCTGCCCACAGACCACACCTGCCAGTCCAGGGGCTGGGAAGGTCCTGCTCCCACCTGTGGGGCCTGACAGTCGCAGGATGAGTGAGATGAGGATGGGAAGCAGAATCTCATCTCTGTGTTAGAGGGAATGGGTCCAGGCTGTGCTGAGGACAGGGACCACCTGGTACGTCCTGGGCAGGGCTGTGCAGGCATAGTGCCAGGGGTTTCTGGTCTACACACCCAACAGCTCTGAGCACCCCAGGGGAGTGGGGGAAGGGAAAGTGACTGGATGGATCAGCTGCCAGTCAGACAGACGTGTCCTCACATCTTCAGCATATGCCCATATCGGGTGGGATGTCCAGGCAAGGGCTGGTGGGTACTGGTGCCTCTTTGCCCAGGGGAGCTGTGGCTGGCCCTGAAGTGGTTAAGGCTGCCAGAGCCCGGCCTCCGGCTCCTGCCGCAGGCGTCCCTCCCAGCCGCTTCCTGCCGGCAGCCTTTGACCGGTTCCTGTCGGTGACCACCCCGCAGGCCTGGACGCCAGCGCAGCCCCATCTGGTTTGAGTTACGCTCCACGGCGGTGACGTCTCCTTCCTGTCTGGCCCCAGGAGCCGCGCATCGCCCCGGTCCCGGCTCTGGCCTCGAACGGCCACGGGGGCTGCAGGGCCCTGCTGTGGGGTGGCTGCGGGGCTTCCAGGTGGACCATCAGCCCCGGACATTCCTGGCACTCTGAGCTGCTGTAGGGGATCAGTTCCTGAACACAGCCCTGTGTGTGCATGTCTGTGGCAGAGAGATGCACAGGCACCAGCCATCCCAGGGTGGGGCACCCCTACCCCACAGCCCAGTTTGGTTTCTCCATCCCTCTCCTTCTTATCCTGGGACCCTACAGAGACAGACACTAGGGCTGGATGAGTGAGGCCACAGGGCTGACACCCATGGAAGCAGCCGTGATCCCATCCTATATTCCCACTGCCATGAGCCCCTGAAGCTGCTTGGAGTGGACTGGTCCCACTGGGGTCGAATGCTCCTGGTCCATCACAGGCCATGACAGCCAGGTCCATCCCTTATGTGTGGGGTCCTCATCTCCCCCACAGATGCAGGATGCAGTCTGGATGTGCACACGTATATCCTCAGCATCCATCCCGAGCCTGGAGCAGCACACATTCCCCATGCACCTTGTTCCTGTGGCACCCACCCTGCCTGCAGAAACAAGGATGCCCGCAGGCGGTGCAGGGAGGGAAGGGGAGCGGGCAGACCTCCGGCACCGGCACCTGGCAGCACCGCCCGCAGCGGCAGCAGGTTCGCCCCGGGACCGCGTGCAGCAAGTCCTGGCCACGGCACGGCCCAGGATGGGAGCGGGCGAGCGGGCGGGGATCAGGCCACCCACAGCGAGCGGGGAGCGAGCCAGGGAGGAGGCAGAGCTGGGAGAACAGCGGGTCCATGACCGGCAGTCGGGGTGAGGGTGGGAAAGGGGAGCGCTGGGAGAGCGCATGGCTCTGATTGGCACTCCCGGGCAGTGCGGGCTGTGCAGGACAGGAGTGCCCATCCCTAGCGGCTGCTGCAGTTTGAGGGACAAACTGTGTGGGATGCGCCACACTGCTCCCAGCACAGGGACCCCATCCCGGGCACAGCACGGGGCCGGGGCCGTGTGTTCCCAGCCGGGGCGGGCGATGGGCCCGGCCACGCTGCGTGGGAACCAGACGGCCCCTGGGCACGGCTGCGGCGCTCGCTTCCTCCCTCGCCCCCGGGGACCGTGCGAAGGAGGGGGCTGAGGTCAGCCGCGCTCGCCGCCGGCCGCTCCGGAGACGCCAGCATGATGTAGGCGCTCAAATATTGTTTTCCACTGGGTAGGGGAAAAAAAAGGGAGAAAAGAGAGGCCCAGGGCTGAGTGGCGATCCCCGATGATGAAGGGCGGCCCCCCCTGCCCTACCCGGGGCTGGGACGCAGCCATGGCCCAGCAGCAGCCGTCTGGGGGCTGATAACAGAGGTATGACGTGGCCGCGGTGCTCCCGGTCCCGCAGTGACGGCAGTGTTCCTCCGTGCCAGCGCGGCCCCACAGAGACCCCCGAGACTGGCCAAACTGGAGTCGCACTGGCCTTGGGGAGCTGGGGAGACTTTGACACAAATTTGGTCCCCGCATCAGCACGGAGAGCCCCTGCCAGCCTTGTGTCTATCCTGGGGCTGGCTGTGCCATGGGGGATGGGTGTTGCCGGTCCTTGGGAGCTCCCTCTCCCAGCCTGGGGTTGGCAGGATGGGGGGCACAAGCACAGCCCCCCACTCTGCCAGCATCACTCTAGCCCCACTCCAGTGCTCAGAGGTGCTGACTTGGGTGTCCCAGTGCTGTGTGGGAAGGGGCTGGTGGCCAGGTCCCATCCTGGGGCTGTGTGCCCACTCCAGTGTCCTCCAGCCTGGCCAGTTGGGGCATATCCCTGTGCCCAGCCCAGTGTCAACAGCGGTGACTCAGCTGGTGCCTCTTCACTGGCAGCCACCCTGCATGATTCAGGTCAGAGGAATCCACTTTCCTGGCTGTTCCCATCAGAGCTGCAGCCCCTGGCACAGCCCATCTTTGGGGCTGCCCTGGTCTCAGAGTCTGCAGGGACAAGTTGGAATCCCAAGCCAGGCACTGACACAGCCACAAGCAAGGACAGAGAGGGGAGAGAGCCCTGTCTACCCCCATAGCAGAGCCTGCACACTGTGCCACAACCCCTGGTGCCTCCCTGCCGTCTGTCTGGGGCAACACGGGTCCATTTGCAGGGCCACACACTGAGGCTGGTGCCATTTGTGCCATGTGTGCCATCCTGTACAAAACCAGGAACTTGGAGGGGTCCCAGGCCCAGGGAGGTGATAGTGGGGCTCCAGTGGGGGATAACTTCTGCTGCAGCACATCCCCTGATCCCTAGGGACCAAGTTCCCTCTCACTACCATGGGATGGCGCTTCAGGGGCTCCTGGCCCTACATTGTGACAGGACCTTGTCCCCGGCATCTTCCTGGGACACAGGACCTGGGTGTAGGTGTGCTGACCCAGGCCATGCCCGTCCCCACATGGCCTCACCATCCAGTCAGTGATCACTGATGGAGGGACTGGTGGGGATGGAGACTGTGCTAGGCGGGCTTGGGCACGTGTGTCCCCCAGCCAGCACCTGAGCTGGGGCTGAGGGTCCCCAGCTTGGCCCTGCCCACTGCCCACCTCGAATGGGGCACAGAGACCACGGAGGCAGCGTTGGGGAATGTGCTTTATTAGGTGCTGGGTTGTCTCAGGGTGGGGAGTCCCTCACTCAAAGAAGAACATGCCGGGTGTCCGGTAGAGGCAGGGGGGCAGCCCCAGGGGGTAGCCATTAGCCCCCTGCAGTGGAATCGTGGTCCCCGGCCCCCATGGCTCCTTCTGCTCACCTGCCCGTGGCCCCATGGCCCCGAAGGATGGCTGGCGGGGGGCAGTGGAGGCCGGGGGAGCTGTGGCCAGGAGATGCTCCAGCGCTGTGCTGCAGGGCCGCTCCTTCATGCAGAAGCTCAGCGCCTGCACCCGGCACTGGTAGCTGCTGCCCAGCGCCTCGGGGCCCGGCCGGCTGAAGGAGCCGAACACGGGCAGGTGGGGCTGCGTGTAGCCCTCTCCCTCCAGGAAGCAGGATGGGGGGGGCTTGCCCGTGCCGAGGAGGTTGCCAGGGAATGCAGGTGGCACCTGCCCGAATGGCTGACACGGCCCCAACCCAGGGGCAGCCAGCTCCTTGCCCTCCAGCTGCTCTGGGGGGGTGTCTGGGGTGGCCGGCGAGTCCTGCGGGGGGTCCCTGTGCTGGGTGGGCAGCAGGGCAGGCAGCAGGGCAGGGTGCTGGTGCTGGGCCGGGCGCTCGCTGGGCAGTGGGTACTGACCTGGCCGGGGCAGCTGCAGCGCCGCCGGGAGCCCCCCGAAGACAGTCTCCTTGGGCGGGCGGCTCTCGGGGGACGTGAAGAACGGCCCCTTGGACTGTGGCATGTCCGGCACGTACAGGCAGGGCTGCCTGGCCTTGGGCGGCTGCCGCCGGGCACAGGGCTCAGTACACCCCGGCACCCCGGCACCCTCGGACAGAGCGGCGGGGCTCGGCAGGCGTCCTGTGCCCGACGGCGAGGGGTAGCCCCCCTCTGCCTTCCCCTCCTCCGGCAGCGGGGCGGCGGGCAGCCCTCGCGCCTGCTGTCTGGGGGTCTTCCCTCGCCCCTCGTCTCCCTCAGTGCCTGGCGCATCCCGGACGCCCCTCTTCCTAGTGAAGCGCCGGCGGCGCCGCAAGAAGCTGCCGTTCTCAAACATGTTGTAGCAGTCGGGGTCGAGGGTCCAGTAGTTGCCCTTTCCCGGTTTCTTGTCATCACGGGGCACCTTGACGAAGCACTCGTTGAGGGAGAGATTGTGGCGGATGCTGTTCTGCCAGCCCTGCTTGTTCTCACGGTAGAAGGTGAAGCGGCCCATGATGTAGCGGTAGATGCCGCTGAGGGTGATGCGCTGCTCGGGCGCGCTCTGGATGGCCATGGTGATGAGGGCGATGTAGCTGTAGGGTGGCTTGGTGGCCTCAGCGCTGGGGAAAGCGCCGCCGGCCGGCTCAGGGGCCGGTGGGCTGCGCAGCGCCGCGTCGCCGACGGGGAGGTCCGGCTGCATTTTCCCGGCCGGCCCGCGCAGTTCCAGCTCTGCCGCTGATCCCGCTGTGCCGCACGGCCCCAGCACGGCCCGTTAAAACCCGGCCGGCGAGGGGGCGGCGGGCCCCTCCTCTGAGGGGCCGCCCAGGGCGGAGCGGGACTCTGCCGTCCAGCACTGGTCCCTGCGGACAGACGGACGGATGCGCCGCCAAGGCCTGCCGCCAGCAGCCAGTGGCCTCGGGGTTGGCACGACCGCGGCTTCCCCAGGGCAGAGGCGGGCACAGCCCCCGGCTCCCCCAGCCCCTTTTCCCACGGAAAGTTCCCACGACCTGGTTCTCATCCTGCCCTGCTCACGGTGTGGAGCGGGGCTCCGGCTGGGCCTGCAGTGAGGCTGAGTGAGGGATGTTGGTAAGACTGAAGGTGTCCCCTGCCCACCCCAGTGCCTCAGACCCTGCCCCCCAGCCCGGGCTTGTGCTGGATCCTGTGCCAGGTCTCTCTGTTGTGCCAGATCCCTGCATTGATCCCATAGCTTAGAGCACAGCACAGACCCCTGGAACCTCATTGAGAGTAAACTGAGGGACAGGTAGTGATTGCCTTTGGGACAGCCTTGTGTTGCCAGGTCAGCACAGCAGCCACAGGCACCTTGCTGCTGCTTTCACCCCTGCCAAGGGGCTTGGACAAGGGGCAGGACAGGTCTGGAACCAGTGCTGGGGCAGGGTTTGTCTCACGCTGTTTCCCTGTGGCTGGTTCTGAGCTGGCTTTGCCCACATGAGCCTCTGTCGGGACTCAGCTTCCCCAGACACCTGTGCTCTGCTCAGACCAGCACCAGCCCCCCACACCAAAGCCAGCCCCCAACACTGATACAAAAACATAACCTTTATTTCTAAGGTTCACAATGGTGAGTCCTGGCAGAGCAAGGTGCAAGAATGGAGCCAGGTCTGCCCTGGCTTGCTGAAAAGGCACGCAATAAATCCCTCCTGGGGGACTTCTAGGGAATAAATACAGCAATCACAGGGGCAGCAGTACCTGCACACCCCAGCTAACATCTGTCCTTGTCTGGTCCCACACACTGAGCATCCTGAGCACTCTGCCTTGGGACATGCAGCTGGAGCGGGGCCATGGGGCTCAGAGCCTCCCACTCTGAGACTTTATGGCAACTGGGCTCTCCTCTCCCACCCAGTTCAGGGCTGGCAGAGCTGTTTGAGGACATGGAAGATATGGCTGGAGGTGCCAGGGGCACAGGGCTGTGGGGAATTGCAGAGCAGCATCGGCCTCAAGCGCTGGGCATGATGGAAGAGCTCCCGTGCGAACACCGGCTCCACCTGTGGAGGCACAGAACAATGGAGGATGGGCACAGGTCCGTGTCCCTGCATTGCAATGGTCCCTGTGCCTGGCTCAGGGGTTGCCAGCCCCAGTGGGTACTCACGTGTGCCATGATGAGCTTCTGGAAGGGGTGCCCAGCTCTGGTGGGGTATTCCTCCCCGAAGCACAGGTAGATCTGGTATTGAGGCATGAGTTGTCCATTGCTCAGGTACTCCCTCACCTCTGCAAGACACCAAACCTATCAGGGGACAGAGTCCTGACAGCCCCCATCAGCCACACCAGGGCAGCACCAGCCCCTCTTTTCGAGGGGAGTGGGGTCTCTCAGGGACTTACGCTGTATGTACTGCTGTGTGTCCAGCAGCTTATAAGTCTTCTCCCTCTCCAGCTTGTTGGGCCAGTTCTTGTGTGGGGCCAGCGGCCCATTCCAGTACACCCTGCCCTGGCACTGCCGCTTCATGAAGACCCCCTCAGGTGCTACCCACAGCAGCACCCCACGCTCCAGATGGGGCAAGAGCTGCTCCAGCACATCTGTCATGCAGGCCACGTGGCCATGGCCACTGAGCACCTGCGGTGGGGGGAACTTTATCTGCTCCATGCAGGAGGGGCCGTAGAGGTGCTCGCTGTCGGCCGGCACGGCACTGGTGGTGATGCGGCAGCCCTCGGCCATGCGGGTGGTCACCTCCTTCACCAGCACGTCGCAGTAGTACAGGCGGATGTGGAGCCAGCAGTCTGGGGCAAAGTGAGGGTCAGTTCCTGGGCAATCTGGGCTGGTGGGCCCACCCAGAGCATTGCCTGCAGCGTGGCTCCTACCTGAATTGTTGACATCCTCCACAGGGAGGTAGGACTGGGGTCCAGGAAGAAGCTGGCCATGGGTCGGGTTCCAGCCATAGAAGACTCCCCTCACAAGGAACCCTGGACCAGGGCAGAGGTGAGGTGGTAAAAGGACATGGACAGTTACCCCAAGGGCTTCCAGGCACTCTCCTGGCCCAAGCGCCTGGGCCCACACTTCCCACTGTGTTTGCTCATTATTAGATCTCATTATATCCCCTAAGGCTTTGCTGGGGCAGGGTGGGAGTTCTCAGCTCCTGCCTCGATCCTCACAGGTGTTGCCTGCACGAGCAACAGGAGAACAGGATCCTGGCAGAAGCATGTGCTCCCTACCCCCTGCCCCATCCTACAGAGAGGGACCCTCCTCACCTCGCTCAGTTGGGTGGCCAGAGAGCCGGGGCTGTGGAGGCACGTGGACACTGTGCAGCATGTCCTTCTGGCTTTCCTCCTTTGGACTGCCTGCAGTGCTGCCCTGGGGGTAGGAGCAGCTTTGGTGAGGGCTGAGCTGGCAGCAGGGGATCTGAGCCAGCTCCTGTCTCTACCATGGACCCCATAAGCCAGCAGATCCCCTGCCTGGGTCTGGCAGTGCATGGCACAGGGGACTCTCTCTGATTCCCCTTGGGACAAATGCAGGCAGTGTGCAAGTGGGGGAGCAGCTGATGGGTGAAGGGGGGATTTGAGGGTCCCACCTTCTCCCCTGCCTGGATGGCACAGGGCAGGCTCACCTGCTGGTCCTCAGTGCCTGGGGACTGTGTGTCACTGTCCTCTGCAGAGAGCAAGAAAGAACAGATGAACCCCTGCAAACGGCAGGAACAGCCCCAGGGAAGACAGCTGGCTCTCTGGGACACCCAGAGAGGAAGAGGAGCAGGGAGGAAGGGTAATGTCTGTGGGGCACGGGGCTTGTACAGGCATGGTTCAGGTATCAATCCCACATCTGGCACAGGAGGAGGGACGGCAGGGACGTACCTGCATCACAGGCTCTGTCAGTCACGATCTGGTACACCTTGTAAGGCTCGGAGATGTCCAGCTGGCTCCGCTCGGGCACCTCCTGGAAGTCGGTGCTCTTGTTGAGGGCGCAGCGCAGCCGCGTCTTCCAGGTGGAAGGGTCGGCCTTGTCCGTCCCTTCGTGGTATTTCCCCTTGTAGATGGCCCAAGCCTGAGGGACAGAGGGTGCCCTGTGCTGTGGGGGCTGCCACAACCTGACCCCCGGCTCGGCTGTCCAGGGACCCAGCAGGGTATGAGTCCGCCGGGGTTTGGGGGCAGTGGGGAAGCAGGGCTCTGTGTCCTGGGGGACTGCGGGGTCGCAGGGGAGCACACGGAGGTGGGCGGTGTGTGCCGGGGTGTGCATGGAGCCAAAAGCCCTGGCGCTGCGCACAGAGTCCGGCAGTGGAGAGCCCCGGAGGTGCACATGGCTGCACAGAGCTGGGTGAGCGATTCCGGGGTGCGCCCGGAGCTGGGCAGTGGAGACCCTCGGGCAATGGGGAGCCCCGGGAGTGCACACGGAGCCCGGCGACCAGTCCCGGGGACTCTCCCAGGGCCGAGTGGGGACCGCGGGGAGCCCGGGATACCTTGAAGAGCGCAGCATCCTCCTGCTGCCGGTAATCCTGCTTGGCCGCGTGCTTCCAGGGGATGCGGAAGAGCGTTCGGTGCCGGTTCTCCCAGCGCAGCCCCGGGTACCGGCCGCTGTCGATCTGCGCGATCAGCCACTCCTTCAGCCGCATGGGCGCCCCCGGCTCCGCCATCGCGGCCCGGCGGCGAAACCGAAAGCGGCTCCGGCTTTCACTTTCCCTTTCCTGGCCCACGCCGCAGGTTCTGGCTGACCCAAAGCGCGGGGAGGGGGGGAGGGACGGATCTTAAAATTTTTCCACTGCTTCACTTTTCCCCACGCAGCAGCGTCAGACATCCGTGTTCAGGAAAAAGTGATGTCGTAACTGAAGGTTACAGCAATGGGAAGAGCTGGTGCCTCTCGGAGGGACCCCCAAAAAAGGCATCCCCGAGGTTTCAGACCTTCACAATGTGTGCACCCGTGTACACCAGTGGTGATTTTAAGCTCTTCCCGTTGTTCATTGGCTCCTGCGGAGGCTCTGGGTCATTGACCCCCACCCCGGGAAGTGCCCTTTGTTAGGCAAAGGGTGAGCGCCCGTTCCCGGCTCTTGCCTGAGGCTCTAGCCTTTCCCTGCGGTGGAGAATACAATGTGCAGCTCGCACTGGTGATTTGCATACCGAGATACCTGAGCTAGGTGCATTTCTCAACACAGGCACCCTGCACTCGCGGGAGAGGGGCAGGCAGATTGCATCCACGGGACAAGGCACCAGATGGCACACGGAACTCTCCTCCACCCCTCCCAAATGCTTCCCCTAAAACTGTCAGGTCTCCCACATGCTCACCGAAGGGGCCAAGGGACTCTACTCCCTGCTTTGGGGACCCATCCAGACACGTCCCAGCCTCAGGGATTGCGTCCTCCCGTGGGACCAGCTGCTCACTCCATGGGTGTGGGGAGCTGCAGGGAACTGCGGAAAGAGCACGGGGTTTCCAGGGTGGTGTGAACAGTCACATGTCCCCATCTTTCAAATCTCTCCTCTGCTCTAATGCTCACGTCTGCCTCGTTGGGCTCTGGATGCTGAGTCGAACGGGAAACTGGTGAGAAGGGCGGATGAGCTGTGCCAACGGCTGCCGGGACTGGGGTGGGACACATCCTGCACCAGGGCATGGGCTGGGCCACTCGGGGGTGACACTGGTGTTGGTGATTCGTTCATCACTGCTGCAGAGTTCCATGTCGCTGTGCAGAGAAACCCTGCTCCTCTGCCCGGCTGCTGCCCCCAAAGTCTCTTTTTGCAGTCTTCCAGGTCTCCTTTCCTGCTCTGAGTCAGAAAAAGTCACCTCTGGCCAAGAGGAGAAGCGAAGTTCCTGAGAGCTACTGGGGCTGCAAAGTCTCCAAATGAACAATCAGTGGCAGAGAGCCCAGTCCTGGGCTTTCCCAGAGGCTGTGAGGACAGGGCATGGACACGTGGCACAGAAGGCACATGGGGCTACACGGGGTGTACAAGTGAGCCCCACTGGCAGAGGTTTTATCTCCTTATTGAGCCTGTCTGGGACCCCTTTGTTGCAAAGTGAAGCCCAGGCACCACCTGTGCCCCCCATCAGGGTGAGCTGTGGGGCCACGTTCTGGGAAGAGGGCCTGGGAATTGACTGACATAGAATCCCCATCTCCCCTTTCTGCCTTGGGAAGCAGAGCCATGGCAAGGAGTCACTGCACAGCCTCCCAGTGGCTTGCACCGATTACATCCAAGGCCGGGAGATAATCGCAGCCGCCGGCTCGTTTGTCAGCCCCAGCCCGCCGGGATAAGTTTTATTGGTCGGCTTTTTATCGGCCGGCCGGGGATTTCATGTGGTGTGGCAGCCGCCTGGTGACGCAGGACTCGGGGGATCTAATTACCCCTAATCAGCGAGGACGCTCAGGAGCCAGATTCCCTGCTGTATTCTTCACCATGCTTCTCCCCTCCCAGGGAAGGTGAAGCTGCTTAACCCTTAAACTTTTCATGCCAAAATGAGTCAAACATTAACTCGTAGCTAACGCTGCCCTTGCCTGGGTTTTTCCAGGCTGTGTAAATCAGATCTGCCAAAATAAATACATTTTGCTGAGCTGGAGGAGCTGAGTTGGAGGGGCCAGGGCCCTGTGTGGTTTACAGTGGGAACAGGGGAATCCCTGGGTGTAAACACCTTGGCATAAGGTGTCCCAGTGTGGGAAGGTGCAGCTGTGCATGGTGCACACATCCATCCCAGATGCGTGGTCCTGGGCTGCAGGACTTCCACCCTGCTGCGTGCTGAGGAGGCCAAAGGGTGCTGCAGAGCCTGGCCTGGGGCGAGGGAGTGGGTAGAGGCACCTGGAAGGAACTGGAATGAGAGTGGGATCCCATGGCAGATGTGCAGGAGCAGTGAAGGGTGATGAACCCCTGGTTATTCACTTCACTCAGTATCTACCCAGAGAGAGTGGAGCTCCCAGTCTGCCTGGGTCACCCCAAGGCAGCACCCAGCCCAGCAGGCAGAAACTGGCAGCAGAAAGGAGCCCTGGTGTTGAAGCTTTGTCTCCTGGGGGATCCCTTCCCCCTAGGAGAGGGGGCAGGAATGAGGGGGACCCCAGAAAAATGCTCTAAGTCCCAACAGGGACAATGCTGCTTACCCAGCTGGGCATCCTCGGAATTTTTCCCACCTGGGACTCTGCCCCAGGAAAAGGTGCAAATGGGACAGGTCTGGGGCTTGTGATACTCAGCTGGTGCCAGGTTCTCAGTACTCCCAGCAGCTGGAGTCAGCGGACTCCTGGAACTGGTGCTCCTGGATCCAGCGAGTGGAGAGGCTACAGTGAGACAGGCTCCAGGTAAGTTCCCACCTGCTGCTCCCAACCTCTCCTGGAGCAGAGCTTGTCCCCAGAGAGCCCTGCCATGGCACTCACATTTCTGGCCTTCCTTGTCAGCTTCCCACAGGGCAGCAGGGTGAGCCCTGTCAAGGCATGCCAGTGTCCCCAGCTCACTCTCCAGAGTGGCCAGCAGCAGCTGCGGACTGGTCCCATGCTGGTCCCATGCCCCTTGGCATCCCTGGCCAACCCGGCCATCACAGGAGAGTCAGACCACAGAGAAGGGTATTTATTACTGGGGGACATAGAAACTCTTTAAGCAAAATGGCTTAAGGCTCTGCTCTAGTGAGGTCTGGCCAGGTTAAATGCTTGGTTCCCACCTGTTACAGATTGTGCCCTGGGATAGGTGGGAATGGGGTGCAATGGATTCCTAAAGCTACAGTGCTTGCTCAGAGCTTGTGCTTGGCCAGTCTGGAGCTGGACCCTTGCCTGGGAGCCTGTGTGGTGGCATTACCTGCTGGCACACTGGTGTGTCCCTGCTCCGCAGCCAACCTGGATGGTGGGAGCTTGTGCTGCTGGTGGGAAAACCGCTCTGAGGGGAGCACCGGCTCTCCCATGCACCCTGAGGCCATGCAGTGGGTACCCAAGTGCCAAAGCTGCTGCTGGCAACACCTGGATACTGGCCTGTGGCAGAAGAGACCCCCTGTGTGTTCTGCCCCAAACAGGAGCCTGCAGTGACCCAGGGCAGAGACCTGTGTCCCCAGCAGGGTGGATGTAAAGAAGATGAACCCAGCATGTGCTGCAAAGCCCAACAGCGTCCATGAAACCTGCCCAGACAGAGGGTGGCACATTCCCACCCCAGAAGAGAAGAAGGAGCTGGGCTTTGTGCAGGTTCCTGTCCCACTGTGTTGCATCTCTTTCATCTCTCCCAGGCTGTTGGGTGATGCTCACTGCTCTCCCTTGGCTTGGGTCACTTCAGACAAGCCGGGATGCAGGAGAACGTCCTCTTCACCCGCAGCAGGAAGGGACTTGTGCTCCTCATGTCTCTGGCTCTTGGGACCAGTCCTTGCACAGCTCCCTCTGTCCTGGATGTTCCTTCTCTCCCTGCTGGCAGCAAGGCCTTTATTTCTTCCTCGTCATTGAAAGGAGACATCCCATACCTCTGCTTCAGGTGCCTGCGGACCTGGGGAAGAAGTGAGAAGTAAAATACAGTGCTGGTTTACAAGGGCAGGTCCAAGTCTGCCAGCAAGGGGAGTGGGGAAGAAACTAAGTCCCCTCAGGACTCGTCCTTGCTCTGAGACCCATGACAGACTCAGCCACGGAGCAGGGCATGGGTGGCAGAGGCTTGTCCCACCTTGCGGGCTGCACTGCCGCTGAACTCAGACAGCTGCTGCCTGAAGCCGGGGTTGGGGTTGGCGACGGGCCGGATGGTTCGGATGGCATCCAGCACCTCCTGGCAGCTCAGCTCCGTGACAACCATGACGTAGGCAACGACCACTGTGGTACTGCGGGAGATGCCAGCAAGGCTGGCAAGGGAAAGTGCAGAAGGGCTGGTGTTAGTGGCGCACCTTGACCCCATATTTGCCTCTTCCTCCACCCTTGTGCCTCAGATATTTCAGTTCTTCTCTAAGGACTTGCTCTCCCGGAGGCCTGAGACCTTCCAAGGTCCTGGCCATCAGTGCCTATAAATACCCATTCCTCTACAGGGAACGGGAGCAGCAGCCACTGCCTGGCTGCCTGCCCCAAAACCCGCTCATCCCGCGCACTCAGCTGCAGCAAAAAGCTGCCCCAGTTCCAGGACTGCCTGGATCCCGCTGGGTTTGAGTCACAAGCCACAGCTGAGGGTGGATCCTGGGTGGGTCCATTGGCACAGAGCCCTCTGGCACAGGCTGGCTTTGATCAGGGGTTGCAGCTAAAGTGAGGGGCAGGGGGCTGTATCTGCTGAGCTGTGGGGACACAGCAGTGGGCATAGGGGAAGAAGCATTACCAGTGGACAAGACAGTTCCCTCCATGCAGACGACACTGATGGATAAAGCTGATGCATTCCTTGAAGTGCCTCTTGCTAGCAGGAAAAACAAACCAGACAGAATAAGAACTTCAGGGGTGGAACAGCATTTTTAGCTGCAGGCAGAACAGCCCTGGACGTTTGAGTTGTTTTAGGGGATCTGCCAGCCACTGCTAAGACCTGAGCAGCTCCGTGCTGTTTATTCCCAAGGAAAGGTGGATTTGCCAGCTCATTCTGTGCTGGGGACACAGAAGGGGACACTGTGCTGGGGATGCACGGGGCTGCCCTGTGACTTGTGTGACTCATGCTGGGCCAGTGGGACGCTGGCTGCTTGAATCTCCAACCACGCCTGTGCCCTTGGCTGGCTCCACACACCCTTTATGTGCTTTCCCCTCTCCAGACACTTCCCAGGGGGATGCTTGCTGTTCCTTTCCATGGCTGCTGCAGAGTGGCTGCCCCTCATCTCATCCCAGGGCTCGTACCCTCACAGCACTCGCTGAACTGGGATGCTGTCAGGGTCCAAGGGTGGTCCCCTGCACTGTGGCATCACATCTCCAGCCTGTGCATCACTGTGCTTTAGGAGCTAGAGGCAGCACATGGAAGGCTTGAGAAGCTGTGAGCCCTCACCTTTGGTCACCCTCTCACCTCCCTGCATGACCCCAGCCTCCCCAGGGTACTCACATGTTGGCTTCAGGGGTGTCAGGCAGGGGGATGCGGAGGTAGGTAATGTCCTGGAAGACAGAATAGAAGAGGAGAAGCTCAGGTACTGCAGCCAGGGTGTCATACATGGTCAGAGCAGGGCTGGCAGTGCCTTTGCTCCTCACCCACAGCTGCCTACAGGGTTTTGATTCCTCCACACAGCATCCCCCCTGTATGGGGATGGGGCCACACTCTCCCTGGGGTGAAGGGCAGGGCAAGGGGACACCAGCAACTCGTGGGAGGGGATGGAAAACAAGAGGAGTCTGGAGAGCTGGAAATTGTTTCCCGTCAGTGTTCAAGGCCGGGTTATAGTCACAAGACAGCCAGTTTCCCATGCCGGGGGGCCGCCCAGCTCCTCTGGGATCAGTGACCAGGGAGAGGTGTACGTGCTATGGAATGCTCAGAGCAGGAAAGAAGATGCAGCATGGAAGGAGCTTCAGGAGTTTACAGGGTGACATCTAGTGCAGGACCCTACCTTCAGCAAGGGCTGGGGGGATTCATGGATCGAAACAATGTGGGTGATCTTGTTCCGGCTTAGCTGCTCCAGGTCTTTGGCATCTGAAGGATAAAACTAGACATCAACATGTATTCATTTCCTACACTTCTATTCTCACAGTAGTGCTCCCACCCTGCTTCTACAGCCAGCCAGCACACAGAGCCCTGCTCCAGCAGATCAACTGCATCCCACCCCCACATGCAGCAGTGCAGACATGGGCAAACATGGGAACCTGGAATGTCAGTCCCATGATCCTGAACCAGAGGCCTCTCCCTGATCCTTTCTCCTTGCTGCTCATGCTGGTTAAACCATTCACACCTGCACAGAAACACTCTAGGTGAGCAGGCAGTGTCCCTCCTGCCTGTACTTGTCCCCACTTTGGGAGGAGACGTGCCCTGCCCATACCTCCTTGAGCAGACACACACGTAGCACTGGGACTTGCTGCAGCCTAAGAGAACTGCTTTATCTTGTACACTATGGATGTGGACCTGCAGCAATATATATCAACTCTGATTTTCTGTAGAAAACACCTGAGTAGTGACTTGCTTCTTTCTGGTCTGTTCTCTATGCAACTGCATGGACAGAAATGGGGTGTCCTTGGCTGTTTGGGGCAATGCTTCAGCATTCTGGATGTGATCCTGGCCTCTGGTCCAGCACAGCAGTTGTTCACAGGGAGGGGAGCGTGCTCGTCTTGCTGAGCAGCTTCCGAGTGTCTCCCTTTCATGCCACAACCAGCAGATGCAGCAAGCGTGGGGGGGAGGGGTAACATTTCCCCATCTCATTCTTTTGGGTTTCTAAACTTTCACGTGGTATAAAACCTTGGCTCAGGAATCCAGCCCGGGATGTGCTAACGACATGATGTGAATTTTAATAGGAGCGAGTCTCAAGGGAGATGCTCTGCAGGGAAGCTGTGGTCTGTGTGGGGAGGGAGATGGGGACCCTTGTGGGGACTCACACACCTTCCCATCCACCTCGGCAGGCAGTGACAGACACTGGAATCAAGGCTTACCAGGGCTGGAAAAGCTTCCAGTTGGAGGAAATGTCTCTGTGAGCTTAATATTGCAGGCCTAGAATCTTGTCACGCTGGATTGCCTGGCAGAGTGATGAGGAGTGTTTGGATGGCATCAGGCCTAGGCCCCACAGCAGAGGCTGTTCACAGGAATCCCCACCATGAACCTGGCAGCTGGGTGCCCTTGTCCCCCTGCTCCCAGCAAGCCACAGCCCCCCCAGCCCAACCTGAAGTGCTCCATGGGGCACAGGGAGAACAGGGATGCCACTCCAGTGACATTTCCTTAGCAATTCAAACCAGTGGTTTTAAACTTCCACAGTGCTTACAGAAGGAATCAAGCTGGCAAAGGAACCATCAGGGAGGCAGGAGTACTCATAAATGCTGGTTTGTCATGGCCGATGCCAACCCTTGGTCATTAACTGTCCCCTGACAATGAAAACTCCTTAAAATAGTGACTTGGTGTGACAAGGTGTGACAAGACTCTGCCTTTGGGATATTCCCTCCTGAGGGTGGGCAGCCCCTCTGGCCTCTTCTATAGCTGCAAAACTGGGGAGCATTACCCTGTCCTGCTCCCTTGCACCCATGTGGCACCACCAGCTCCTCTGCTCCTGGCACAGAATCCACATTTCCTCCTTGGCTCCTTTCCCCAATGTATCCCAAGAGCTCAAGGCAGCTGTTAAATAAGGAAACCATGCAAAGGCAGGGGTCCCTGCCTTGCCTTTCTCACAGTGTCTTCACTCCCACTACTGCCAACCCCAATTGGGTGACAGAGCAGAGCAGGCACAGGCAGGGTAGTGGGTGCAGGCAGGGTGTCAGGCAGCATTTGCAGGCAGGGAGACACCAGCTCAAGCAAGCCCCACTCCCCAGCTGGAGAACATATCTGCAGCAGCTGAGTTCCACTTACCAACGAAGTTCCCAAGGTAGAGGCCAGGAAGGATCTGTGGGACACAAGGAGAAGTGGCAGTGTGAACAGTGACCTCATACTGTGGTACCCACTGTGCTGGGACCCACGCTGGGAAGCAGTGACCTTGGCTGGAAAGGCCAAAGCTCTGGCATTGACATGACCATTTCCAGCCCTGGGGCAGGAATGGTGCTGGGGCAGCTCGACCTGTGCATTTCCAGGGCTGCCACTGCCCTGGCATGCAGGATGTGGGGCTGGATATAGCCCTGGCACCTGCAACTATCTGGCACTGCACTTTCACAGGCATGTTTGGTTTTTTTTTTTGCTCCTCTTGTTTATCATCAATTAGTCCTCCGTTGGGGTTTATTACCTGAGCTCAACAAGTTGCATACACCTTTGTACAGCCTTGGACTCTACCTGTGACCTGTGGAAGCCCTGCTGCTTGAGGGATGGGAAAGCAACAGGCACAGAGAAGCTTGTAGGGGATGTGGCTGTCCCCCTCCCACCTTGAGCTCCACTCCCCTCACTCTGCACTGCAGGAAGCCCATTTCTCACAGCCCAGGCACAGATTGCTCTGGACACCATGCTTTCAGCTCATTTCCCCTGGGAAATTCCACTTCTCATGATGAAAAAATAATTACTTGACAAGGCCTCTGTTAACAGCACTGCAGATGCAGAAGCAGGACACCTTGTAAACCTTGTCAACCAGAGCTATTTTATATTCTCCCTCACTCACAGCCTGGGCAGTGAGTTAAATCCTGTATCCAGCCGGTTCTCTGCCAGCTTCTCCCTGCAGCAATATTTGGTGTCCAGGGCAGGCGGAGGTGATTTTCACTAGCACAGCTGGACTCACACTAGTCTCACTGCTCACATTTGGAAAGGTTTCTCTCGACTTAAAGCTTAAAGAAGGTTTTTTTTTTTAAGCGATTCCTGCGATTTCAGATCAATTTCCTATCGACGGGGTGCCTTTAATTCACAGCTGCAGCACTGAGAGGAGCGGGAGAGCGCCAGTTAGTAAGGGCAGCTCCCAAGGGCAGGACACTGAACCATGAATAAACAGCATATGCCTGTCCCCAGCACCCTGCTGACCCGCTCCTCAGAGGAGAAAACGGGGCAGCACCTAAGTAAAATAGTGCCCATCCCCTCTGCCCCATGATGCCGAGCCCCACGCACAGCCCAGCCACGCTGAGCAGGGGGTGCGGGACCACCAGGCTCGGGGTCATACAGGGCTCCCAGCATGCGCTTGGTGCTGGTTCCTTGGGATTAAAGGTGTTGGGAAAAGTTCCCCCCTTCCTTGAAGGAACTCGCTGTGACCGCTGCCCTCCACCCCCCCGGGCAGCTGTCAGCTGTCCCAGCGCAGCGTCCCTGCCTGTTTCACCTCCGGTGTTGCTCTGCCGGCAGATAAACAAACAAATAAAGAGCTGAGCCCTGTGCCGGACCCGGTGCCGGCAGGTGAAACACCACTTGGCACGGCAGAGGCAGCCGCCAAGTAAAGGTCTCCCATCTCCGGCACCGTACGAGCCGCCCGGGCATGGCCGAGCTGCAGAGCAGCCGCCCCAGCGCTCCCCGTTACCTGGCTCATGCCGTTCCCCATGGCCGACGGCGGGCGCCGGGGGTGGGGACGGGGCGCGAGTGTCCTTGTCCCCAATGCTGCCGTCCTCCCCGTCCCCGGGCGCAGCTGCCGTCCCCGCTGCCTGCTCGGGTTCCCGTCATGAAGAGCTCGGCTCCCCCAGGATCGCTGCTCGTTCCCAGCGCGGCAAGGCCGGGCCGGTGGCTGTGCCGGGGCAGAGGGGACCGCGGCCGCCGTTCTCCGCGGCTCCTGCCGAGGCCCTTCCCCGGCTGCTCCGGCGCTGCCGCGCACCGGCTGCTGCCTGGCCGGGAGCAGACAAAGGAGGAGAAACTCCCCCCCTGCACCGTGGCGTGGGAGCACGGGGCCGCGCTGGCTGCTGCCTGTCGCCGCTGCCCGCGGCCGCACAAGGCTGCACTGTTGGGAGAAGAACAAAACCTTTGTCCTGCTCCATCAAGGAAGGTCTGTGCGGCCACGCGGCGAAGCGCCCGGCAGCATGCCCACCCCTGCCCACGCCATGCCCACCCCTGCATGCACCGTACCTATCCCTGCCCTGCCCGCAGCGTGTCCACCCCCGCTCGCACTGTGCCCACCCCTGCCTGCACCACACCTCCCCCTTGCCCGCTCCAAGCCCACTCCTGCCCGAGCCCACCTGCAGCCAGGTGCCGCAGGATCCCTGCCCTGCACGGGGGGCTGCAGGAGTGTCCTGCGGACTTCGCAGGGCCGCAGGATGGGCAGTGCCAGCGACGAACAGGGCTGAGGGGCTCCCCACCACTGCCTGTGGCCGCCAGCCCGCAGGGAGGGTCAGGCCGGGGGTCCCGGAGGGGCCGGGACAGGGCGGGGGGATCAGGCCGGGGGTCCCGGAGGGGCCGGGACAGGGCGGGGGGATCAGGCCCGGGCTGGGGGGGGCAGTGTGGGGGTGCGGGTGCCGAGAGCGCCCCCTAGCGCGCAGCCGCGCGGTTGCCATGGGGACGGGCGCGGGCTCCGGCGCCCTCACAGGCGGGCGGGGGTCGGGGGTCGCGGCCCGGCTCAGAGCGGGGCCCGGAGCGGTCCCGGTGGGCTCCCGGCGGGTTCCCGGCTCTGTATCCCAGATCCTGCACATCCCCGGGGCAGCTTGTTAAGCTCCATGCGATCCTTGTGCAGGTGACGGCAAGGATAGCGTCCCCCTCCCCAAGCCTTCCACCGTGTATGGGGAGTATGGATGGTATCTATGGGCATGTTTAGACGCTACAGATTTAGTAGAATTAATTAGGTTGGAAAAAACTTCTGAGATTATGGAGTCCAACCTATGACTGAGCACCACCTTGTCAACCAGACCAGGGCACTGGGTGCCACTCCAGTCTTTCCTTAAACACCTCCAGGGATGGTGATTCCACCACCTCCCTGGGCAACCCATTCCACTGTATAAACACCTACAGCCCTGTCCTCTCCTGGGCAATGTCTTCTGCAGCACAGCACCTGAGCAGGATGTGATCCCACTGGGAGCAAGTGTGGCATTTGGGCAGCCTGGTCTAGTGGAAGGTGTCCCGGCCCATGGAAGGGGGTGGAATGGGATGAGCTTTTAAGGTCCCTGCCAACCCAAACCAGTCTGTGACTCTATGGAGGGAGGTTGAGGGTGGTTTGTGACACCGGGTTGATCAGCGGAGTTCAGGAGTGCTGTGGCTGAGCTGCTGCAGGGTCGTTGTGAGCATCTGCCTGCCCTGGAGAGAGGGGTGCTGGCTGCACAGGAAAGCTACAGCAGGAATGGTGGAACATGGATTGTAAGACTTGCTCTGTTCTAGTTCCCAGTGTTCATGCAGAGAGACAGAAAATTGAAATTGATCCTCTTTGTCCACAAAGAAAAAGCAGTTCTCAGTGGTATCCATATTTATTTATTTTTCCTCTCAGAATATGTGGTGCAGTTGATCCCCAGAAGCTTCTCAAGGGCAATTAAAGCAAGTCACACTGTGGGAGCATTTGTTGTGCTGAATCTCATAATTCTCTTTCTACCCAGCTGAGTCAGAACAGCAGCTTAGCAAAGGATCTGAAGAGGTTTCGGAAACAGTTAGAAAGGGAAGCGGGAAAGCCTGAGGCAAGAAAATGTGCCTTTATTCTGAAGACCCTCAAAATGCCTTCAGAGTGCTATTTGTTTGTGGAAGAATTTTACAAGAACCTTGGCATCACTTGGGTTATGAAACTGGTAAGTGTGTGGAAAGTGAGAGATGAACGGATGCCTTCGTTCTTCAGAGGGAAAGGAAAATATGCAGGAAACCCACAGGAAGAATTGGGCAGAGCAAGGTAACATGGAGAAGCCGTGCTCCTGGCCAGGTTCCTGATCAACGTGTACCACCAAAACACTGCTTCTTGTGTAAGAGTTTATTTCAGCAGCCAAAAGTCAGCTCAGTTTATTTGTAGAGCAAAAGTTAACTCAGTGGTGAAGGTATAAAGTGCAGAGCTCTGTATGGAGGAACAGACTGTGCTCCCAGGGGTTCTGGCTGTTTGGTTCTGGCTGAGTTGGTGCTCTGAAATCTTTCAGTTCAGCTGCAGGTGCGCAAGAGGGCGGAGGTGTGTGCAGGACAGGTGGCTTATTTGGCTTCTGGTTAATGAGCATTAGGGCAGCCCCCAGAGATGGAGCTGTGAAAACATCTGTTTGGATTTAGAGAAATCCCATTGTGTTAGATGTCAAGTCTGGTGTAAACTTACTGGGTGGAATTCTATCCTAAGAATGTGAAATGATTATGGGAAACTCCATGACCACAGAAGCCCAGAATGGTTTGGGTTGGAGGGGATCTTAATGTTCATCTCATTCTATCCCCCTGCCATGGGCAGAGACAACTTCCACTAGACCAGGTTGCTCAAAGTCCAGTCCAGTCTGGCCTTGAACACTTTCAGGAGGGGATATCCATTACCAGTCTGGAGTACAAGCTGAGGTGGATTTGATTGGCATGAACTTCTCTCTGCCCTGTATGGAGAGAAGGGCAGCCTTATGCCCTGAGTCATGTTTTTCCCCCCCAAACCTGGAGCTGTGCTGAACACCGCCACTTCAACTTCAGCCAGTGATCTGGGGATTAAGAAAAAATTGTGTTTCCTTTAGAAATTTTGACAATACCATATGACACCGAGAAATGCCTTGCCTCTGCCAGAGGATTCAAGCCATTTAACATCCTAAGTGTTGTGCTGTGATGCATAATTAAAAACACACCCCTGCGAGTGAGCAGTCCCTCTGTTTTGTGCAGCAGGTCTGGTGAGGAGGCTGGGACAGGAGGATTTGTCTTACCCTTGTGAGAAGTGACTGGGAGGTAATTATGCAAACTAACTCGTGAATTACAACCAGGAGGATAGCAGCTAGTGATTATCTAACTCTACAAATGGGAAGTGTTAATTGGCAACAAAACCCTTATATTAAGCTGATTTTATGCCCCACAACCTCAATTAACATGGTAAATAACCAGAACACAGTAAATAAGGATATACAAAAAGCCTGTGATTATTGAAATTGTACCAACAACATAAATAGATTGTGGCTGACCTCAAAACTTGAAAGCAAGTGAAAATAAACTCCATGTTACTCCTTCTGTTGGTCTGTGTTTTGGAGCAGCCCCATGTTGTGACGTCCCAGGTTGCCCACTCGCACACTCAGAGGCAGGAGTAGGTCAGGATGTGCCCAGTGCCACATCCTGGGGCTGGAGGAAGCTGGACCTGGGGAGCAGTGTGGGAGCTGTGCTCCTTGGGTGCCTTATCTGGGCCACTCCTCACCCTCTTTTATGCAATGTGCAGCCTAGGCAGTCTTCAGGATTTTTCTGCACATTTGCCATAGCTCCCCAATATCTTTTTTGTCTTTCCTGTTTAATTAAGTTCTTCTGTAACGTACACAAATTTAAAAGGGACTTAAAATTCCCAACAACATATGTTGCGTTACATATATTTCTGGAAGCGTGTGACAGAGTTTGTTTATTTGGTGCTATGGGAGTTCCCCATAGGCTGCCTGCTCTGCCTTTCCTCCAGGAATTCTCCAAACACAAATATGAGGGGGTTTTTGTTGAATCTCTCTGCCCCCATAACCTTAAATAAACATGCTTGCACACGAGCAGCTGATGAATCAGGTTATGCAGGTCTCCTGCACTGAAATTCTGGAAAAGTGCAGGAAATGCTAACGTTAAAGCCACTAAGTCTGCTCTTCCATCTGTAGTTGGCAAGTCACAAGGTGGGAGAATGTTCCTGAAAACTGAAATGTATAATTGATTGAAGAAGGTGAGAATGACAGTCTTTTCTTTGGGAATATCCAACAGGCATTTTGTTCTTTTGCTCTTTTTTCATCCTCTCCTTCTGCCAGTGCTTGGTCTGTTCTCCCGTGCTGCCCTCCTGCCATATCCTTCACCATTCTCCAGGGTAACAATAGAGGTTTTTACAATGGACTTTCCCAAATGCTTGGATACTTGCTTTGAGAACTGATTTTTTACACTTTGTGTGCATATTTATATATAAACTTCCAATCTCAGGTATATCTAACACTAGGCAGCAACTAGGTTATATTATCACATATATATAAAATATACACATGTTTTATAATATATTTATACTATACATTCTTTGGGTGGTCCTTCACAGGGCCAGGAGTTGAACTTATATCCTTGTAGGTCCCTTTCAACTCAAGATTTTCTAAGATTCCAGCAGGGTAGGAAAAGGACTGTGCAGTTCTACTGCTTGGAATTAGATGCATCAGATGAACCTTGTCACTTCCAACTCCTGCAAACACCTACAGGACTCGGCTGGCCCATCGCTGCTGCTGTCACCCTGTCTCTCTCCAGTCCTTTTTCATTGGAAAACTGGTGTCACCAGATCACTGGAAATGTCAGTGTGACAAATCAGCTCGGAACAAAGCTGAAATGTCACTCCTGGTTTTACTGTTAGTGGTTGAATTTTGGCAGCCTTTCTTCTTCCTTGGGTTCACAGGATGTAAGGACAGGGTGATTCACGGGAGAGAATTATTTGATTTTCAATGTGTCACACTTGCTGCTGCATTGAGTTTGATAGCTTTCATTTGATTAGCACATCTTCCCAAAAGGTATGCCACCTCAATTTGGTGGTTTAGGAGACAGAAAAATCCATCAGATCTCTCTGTGAAAGTTCAGCAGAGTTCACATTCACTCTAAATGATCAGAAGCCTTTCCAGAGTGCGGGTGCAGCAGGCTGCCTTGGGGGGGAGGGTGCACCAAGGTTTGGAGACATTGTGACGTGAAGATCTTGTACCAAACCTCCTGCCATGGGCAGGGACATCTTCCACTACAGCAGGTTGCTCCAAACCCCATCCAGCCCAGCTTTGAGCACTTCCACACATGGGTGTTACCACCTACCTTTGAGTGGTAACTGAGGTTCTTGTTAATAGATCCCTTGGGGTGAATGAGAGTGAAACGACACTGAATGACCAATGTACGTATATGAAGCAGGCTTCATATTTAAAAGAAAAGGAAGCATACAGCTGTTTTGATTATTTTCTATTAAAAATAT